TGGTACTGTTAGCTGTGTGGTTCTGTTAGCACCATGGTACTGTTAGCAGTGTGGTTTTGTTAGCAGTGTGGTTCTGTTAGCAGTGTGGTTCTGTTAGCTGTGTGGTTCTGTAAGCAGTGTGGTTCTGTTAGCACCATGGTACTGTTAACAGTGTGGTTCTGTTAGCAGTGTGGTACTGTTAGCTGTGTGGTTCTGTAAGCAGTGAGGTTCCCTTAGCACCCTGGTTCTGTTAGCGGCGCGGTCCTGTTAGCAGCATGATGATAGTAACGACCGCGGCAACAGACGATGACTTCCCTCCAGAACTGGGTCCGGCAGACAGAACATCCAAGTTTTCCCATTGGAACCGAATTGTTCCGTAGAGTTCAGTCCATGCAGGCAGATGGAGGATCATGGAGATAGCCGCCATGACAAGTCATAGCCTGAGCCCGAGGTGGGAAGAGGGCCAGGAACTGAACCACGATGGCAGGATGGAAAGGCAGAGACACAGAAAACTCCCAAAAGTGCGTCTCGGTCGTACCCGTAGCGTGGGTGTGCAGTGGAGACACAAAAAAGTTAAAAACAACAAGAACAAGAAAGAGCGAGTCGAAGCAGAGCTCCCGTCAGTGCTGCCATACTGCGGTGCATGTGACATCACACGTCACACACACACGTCTTCTAGGGAGTCTGACGATGCTGCTAAATTACATCCACGGAGTTCTTTCAGTAACAAAATTATCTTTAAATTCTCACAAACAGGATTTTTAAACGTATTAAAACTGAAATCACTGTGTTTTTCTAGTCTCGCCTGTATGTGTCACTCCTTCCACTATGTTAAGAGACTCCTGGAGACGCTGTTCGTTCATCGCTTCTCTCACGGGACGATGCCGTTACGAAACATCTTCAAGGTGAAGACTCGTGTATCAGACTTGATGAACCGGCCTCCTGATAGCTGAATAACATTGTCCTGGCTGTTTCAGAACTGTACCTACTACTGGGGCTTTGCAGCATGGATGGCCTATTACATCAACCACCCGTTGTACACCCCGCCCAGTGAGTATGCACAAATACGTTCTCCTTCAGAAACACGTGTAAACGAGCTCATGTGAACTGTTTTTGTACTCCTGCAGTCTACGGGGAGCAACAGATCCGGCTGGCGCTCATCTTATTCTTGGTAATATTTCTCATCACATGCTGGTCGTTTTATTTTGTGCCATTTGATTAAACTAAAGGAATGTAGAAATAATTAAAGATGTAATTATGTTGACATATTAACAGGTTTGTTATAGGTGCATTTTATTGAATTGAGGTTGACTCAGCTATTAATTCAACTTGTTTTTATCACTGAATTCCTTGTGTGACATGTTGACTCTCAGTTCTGTCAGATTGGCAACTTCTCCATCCACATCGCTCTCCGGAACCTCCGTCCTCCTGGTAAACACCTACATCCATCCCAAACGCACAGTGCTCCTTTGTGACAACAGGGAGTCTTAACCACTGTGGTTCAAATATTTTTTTAATTCATTCTTAAAAACTGAAAACGTAACTTCTTCTCTCTCCGCTTCCTGAATTTAGGCTCCAAGACCAGGAAGATTCCTTATCCGACCAAGAACCCCTTCACCTGGATCTTCCTTCTCGTCTCTTGCCCCAATTACACCTATGAGGTGACATGTTCTTTAAATAACGTTGTAATGACTAGAGCCCGACTGGTATGGAAATTTTGGTTATCACCGATACGATAGTGGGAGGGGTGGGTTAATGCCGATAACCGATATAATGGCAGAACATTTGTGAGCTTTGTCCACCCTCACGAATCTAAGAAAACGGCGAGTGGAGTGGGGCTTGTTTACCGTATTTTCCACCGTGTAAGTCGCATCAATCCAAAAATGTCTAATAAAGTGGGAAACAAATATAAATATGTCGCCGTATAAGTCGCATCTATTATACGTCACCGCTGACCACCCGGAAACGTGGGCCGGTGTTGTTCCAAAAATCGATCGGCTGCCAAAACGGCGGCCATGGGAGCGTGCACGAGAGGACTTTAACAAGATTAACGCTTAAAAACAATTATTTGTTTGCTCTAAATTATAGCAAAGGTGTGTCTCAGTTAAACTTTTGCTTAATAAATTCGCTTTAATGGTCGAATCAGCTGCATTTTGTCTGTACGGAGCGGCGAAGTGCAGCTGATCTGATGTTTGCTCCAGGAGTTCCGGAGCGAGATGAAGGTGGCTCTGTATGGCAAGCCAAGTGTGTCATTAATAGCCACTTTTCCCTATTAACGAGACACTTGCCATAATGCTCGACGGCCCTCTAGTGGCTGCAAATGATAATGTTTAATATTTTCCATGTCAGAATGAATGAAATTGTCAGATCTCAACCAAAAATTGGGTTATAAATATGTATATTAGTTACTTCGGTGTATAAGTCGCAGGACGCGCAAATTTATGCAAAAAGGTGCAACTTATACGGTGAAAAACACTGTATTTAGTGCAGCTGTTGGCAACCATGAAGGTAAGCACGTCAGATCCGTGCTTTAGTCCAACAGTAGGTTTAGAAGTGATGCACTGGTCATTAAAACAGTCTTCTTAACGTGTGTTCACATTTTCCATCCTCCACTTTTCACCATAAAGTTATCGAGTGCGTTACAAAAATATAAATGACGTAAACAAAGCTCCCTGTTCATTGTTCAAACAGTCACGTACGGTGAAGGCCTAATTAGTGTTGAGCAGTAAAGTTTGATTTATTTATTTGCAGAGAAGATCTCAATGCACTAGGACGACAAAGATAACGTTACTAACACGGATATATTTTACATCTGTGTTCTGAATAGTTTTACAAGGCAATAGCCTATGCTAAATTTAGCTTGCTAACTGAGAGGCACATAGCTAATGACAAGCCAGTTTTTATTTTTACAGTTAAAATAAACTCGCCATGCTCCGTTCTGCAAAATGCACTACACAGTTTAGTTGCTCGCTGCTTCGGCTGAGCTGAGTCAAGTGTTCAGCATGGACATGAATTGAAAGTAGTCCACATGCGCCCTCTGCTGGATACATTATACAATTACGCTTTTTGCAAGTAAGGACACGGCTCGTTCCCAGCATTTTATGGATGAAAGAAGTGTTTCTGCGCGTAATGGGACAATTATCACTGATATATCCCTAAACGCCTGTATCAGCCTAAAATATCAGCCCTACCGATATATCAGCTGTACTTATATATCGGTCATGCTCTGATTTATACAAATTCTAGTTGTGTACTTTATAGATGCTTCAGGATAGAGAACACATTTACCGCCCACTGTTAGCAGTTGAAGCTCAGCTGTAATGAAGGTTGTGACGTCTTCCTCCCACAGCTGGGCTCGTGGCTCGGCTTCACCCTGATGACCCAGTGTCTGCCGGTGGCCTTCTTCACCTTGGTGGGTTTCATCCAGATGACCGTTTGGGCCAAAGGGAAGCACCGCAGCTACCTGAAGGAGTTCCGCGACTACCCTCCTCTCCGCTCGCCCATCCTGCCGTTCGTTCTGTAAAGAGCTTCATCAGCTGAAACGAACTGCGAGGCCGTTTCTTTAGCTACTTTAAAACCAACACTGGAAACTTGTTTAGACTAGACTCTTAGCTTGTCTGCCTTTGTTTTTTTTTAGCTTTTTGTTTTCCGTGTTGCATTGAGTGAAAATGTAAAACTAGATCTGCTCTCATTTTTTTTGTATTGTGGACAAATTATTTTGGCTGTTTTGAATAATTTGAGTTTAATCTGAAGCTGACCTGATGTAAACTGAATTATATTCTCCTCTTTTATCTCTTCATACGGTTTGCAGTATTGAACCTGCACCTTGTATTCATGAAATCCCAAACTCTAAACGCTCTTGAATTTAAAATCTAAAACTGACTACATTTAATTTTGTTGTCTGAGGTAATTTGTAAAAAAATAATAAACCAAGCTGCTGCTTTTTCTTGTCTTTTAAATTCCAGATTAACCTCTTGGGTTCAGGTAAATGACAAGTTTCGTTATCTTCATGGTAAATTATATGTATATTTAAATTTACCCAACACCAGGAACATTATTTATCTGAATAACTTCCTAATGTTTCCACAGTATTATTAATTTATTACACTGAGAAAACTTAGAGCTTAAACAACTTTGTTTAATGTGAATAACGGGTATATACAAAGAAGCACATTTGTAAAGTGTTCCCATCACGCAGCTTCTGCCTTGGCTTCAATCCTCTTCTTCCTCAGCTGCAGTCTTCTCTCCCTCTCGTACTCCTTCATGCGCATCACGTAGCTGAGGGGAAAACAAAACAAATGATGACGCCACTGCCCACATTAAAGCTCAATCTGAAATTTAAGCTCCTTTTTAAAAGGCTCATGTGTCATTACAATTATTGAAAAGCAAAAAAAAACGACAAACTTTTAAGAAACGGTGTGAACGACAGACGTGAGCACTACTGGTCGCAAATCTGAAATGGGAGCGCTGGTTTGAAAAGTGGTAAACTTTACCAACCTGAACAAAAAGGCTCCTGTAGTTTAGCCACAATGAATTCCTTGATCTAAACACTTTAGCGTTCCAAACGTAAACTCGCTGGGTTGGAATCTCTCAATGATTGTATAGCAGGCGCAATGAGGAAAAATCTCAATCCCTTTTTAAGTTTGAGCTTGAATTCAAGTCTAAACGCACCTTCTGGATCAATGTGGGTAAACCAAACAAACTCACTGAACTATCTTCGATTACTTGATCGGAATATTGTCGTGGAGCTGGCGACAGCCACGTCGTCTTCTCTCACTGTAGTTTTAAAGGTTATCGGACAAACTGAGACCCGGTTTACACATGAACGATCTCTTGAAACATTGGTTTTCCTACGATGATTCTGAAAAAATAATCTCCATTTACACAACGGCAGCTGCTACTTGTTGAACCTGCTGCCAGAAAGAACATGACCAGATGATGCAGTCACTTTAAAAGAATTGCATTTTTACCCAAACTATCACATGCAGAGTGAGGGTGTGCTTTATTGGAGGGGGGGTGCGTTGGGATTGGCAAACACGCGCAGCAAAGAAAGGACCTGACATCGAAATCATCTTATAAAAACTAATTAATATCTGGCAACACGTCACTTCCTGGCAATGGGGGATGTTTGGATTTCAACGAGTTGCTTATACAGTAGTCCCTCACTTATCGTGGGGGTTACGTTCCAGACACCCCTGCGATAAGTGAAAATCCTCAAAGTAGGGACGTTACATTTATTTTAGTATTTATATATATTTTAAGGCTTTATAAACCCCACACTAGGAATGCGTGATATATACGGTGCACGGTAGATAGAGATCTGTCTTCTACCGGCTAATCGCAGTAACGCTGTGTCTGAAGTAAAATCAGAGTTGTCGGTTTAATCGTTACTTTTTTTTAGTTGAAAACGGCGCAAGTGGCGTTAAAAGTCTCTTCTTCAAGAGCTAAGAAGCGAAGCTACAAGCTAACTACGTCCGGCTTGCCGTAGTGTTGCCGTATTCTGACGCATGCGCAAAACGCTGTGCTCCGTCAAAAGTTGATTTTTTCCCCCCTCAATCGAAAGTTAAAGTAAGCGTTGGTCAGCTTTAGAGAAAGCTGCTCTGATCTGTGAAAAGAACGCTGTGTTTTGTGATTTTACTGCGAGACCCTCTGGTCAAAGCCACAGACTCATTTTGTGTCAGCTCTCCATTAAAGCAGAAGGAGGCGCCCACTAGAGGTTTGGAGGGTGAAGTGTTTCAGTGTAACATGCTGCTCATTTCTTAAGTGAGAATACTGGAAACTGTTAAGAGTTAACATTTTTTTTTTGTTTAAAACATATGGCTAAAACTACATTTGATATCTTTTGCACTGTTTTGCACTACAAGAAAGAAGCCGAATACTTGATTTGTTTATTATTTAAAAACTCTCTGGACCTAGTAGTGGCATTTTCTTAATTCAAAATATATGATGGCAAAAGGACACCCTATGCTTTTTTTTTTAGCAAGTTTTATACCAAAAACATGTTGCGATATAGTTATCGCCACCCTTCACAATACATATCGTGATATGAATTTTATGTCATATGGCACATTCCTACCCCACACTCTTGCAACGTTCTGAACTCACGCCCTAAAAGAGCACGGCAAAAGAGAGCGGACTGACACAAAACAGGTTGCACGCCTGCCTGTTGTGTGTCTGCTCTGCTGTGACAGACAGCCTCAGAAAGAGAAAGGAGGGGTTGGGGTCTGTTTTTCCCCAGCCACGGGGAAATGTCCCAGTGCCCCCGATGGCCAGTCCGCCCCTCAGCACAATGCTCTGCTTGGTCACCTTTCATCAATCAGCCAATCGTGTGTCGTGCAAAATCTTACGTTGAAAAACCGTGAAAGTTGAACCACAAAGTATCGAGGGTACATGCAGAAAACTGATCATTGAGCATGAACATAGATGACTGAATCGCAAGAGAAAAGCTACAGTTTTACCCACAAACAGCGTCTGGTAAACAGGACCTGAATGGTTTTTTTCCCAGCTTTTCACCAGCCTTGAACGCAGCATTACATTTACATTGTATGAATCTGGAGCGGCAAGAAAAGCCTGAAACGTCACATTTACAGGTAAACGGAGCCGTGCGCTGGTGTTGACTGATCCGTCTGCAGCAGGTGATTTGTGCACATGCAATTGACATGTAGTTTGTGCAGAATATTCCCACTTGTGCAATATGAAATGTGTACATGTGATAATTTGTAAGACTTCTTGTACGCTTGTGTTTCTAGTTTTCGAGACTCATTTCTCAAAAAAACGACGTGTTCAGACCAAAGAGTGGCGACGCCGGTGAGAGGCAGGGAGTTCTGCGCTCAAGTTTCTTGTGACGTATAAAAGTTTGTACAAACTTTACTTTTGACAGTTTGAGAAAACAAACAAACTTCTTGGTTCTTGTGGAGTAAGTAGCAACTGCAGAAGTCTGCGTCACGTGAAAACGTCAGAACAGCTGCCATAAATTCAGCGTTTACACAAGCTTGAAGCAAAATGGGAAGGATGTATTTAAATTTGGTTTTACAGGATAACAAAAACCTAAGTACATATGAACATGTGAGGTAGATTGTACACTTTAACATACATTATGCTGGTCAGTGTTTATAATTTACAACTACTGATTACAACTTAAAATAAATGCACCTCAGTGTTCGTCCTTCACCAAATCATAACTTACTCCTGGTGTTCACAGTAGTCCCAGTCGTGCCTCTCGTGCTTGCAGGCCAGGAAGTTGGGCCAGTTGTCCCTCTTACACTTCATGAGTTTCAGTAGATAATGAGCGCAGTAGTCTCTCTGATCCAAGGGCAGCAGGGCCAAGTCCATCTGCTCCTGGGTTGCTATCATCTCTGCAGAAAAGGAAATAAAATTCAGTCACCACCCAGGCAAACTCTAATTATTAAGCGCATTTTCCCTTTTACAGGAACAATGCAACAATGGTAAAATTAATTTAGTTACTGTTTCAGCTTTAATTATGCAATTTATTAGTTTTGTAGTTTGTAAAAAAATAAAATATAGTCATCTATCTATAAATATCTTAAATATTGAAGCATAAAAACATCTAAATTAATGTGCCTCCAGATAAAAACATTTAGTTTAGGTCGAGGTAATTTACAGAAAAAGATATAAGTAGCCCAGGTGTATTTTGATTAGACTAACCTGACACTAAAAGTTAAATAAAATCATAATATTCAGGTTTTTAACTTGCACCTTTGAGATTATACATTCATAATAGCATTTCATTCATTATTCTGACATTAGATTTGCATCATTTGTGTATTTTATGAATATTCCTGTGCATCACTGTCATTGATTTTTAGCTGCTCGTTGAAAACAGTGACAGATTTACTAAGAGCTGTTTACATCAGCTGCTAAACCAAGTAGCTTCGTGCATCATGTCCAGCACTCAAAAATCACATGTATCAGTTTTAGGGTCAGACCGAACCAGAACCTGCTCGGGTGGACATTAGACAAACCTCTTTCCTTCCTCTCTTCGAAGCCAAAATGAGAGTCGAACTCGAATTTCTTGGCTGGGTCCGGCTCCGTGTCCCTCTCGGTGATATACCGCCTGACGAGGTGAGCTCCCATGGCACCGACGACGCTCGCTTAACAAGCTAGAAAAGAAAAAAGTGTTTTCTGTCTGCTTTAGTTCGCTGCAAATAAAATGTTTAGTTTTATTCCACAAACAGCCATACGGTCACCTCCACGAACCCTCTACTGCTACTTCCGGTGTTGATGGGTTCAATAACGGCTGCGAGTTTGTCTGAGAGATGCAGCGCCGCCCCTACTGGACGGGAGTGGTATAACAAGCTAAACATTTTATTTAAATTTAATTTAATGTCTTTAATTAAAAAAAAAAAAAAAAAAAGAATACATTTTCATCAGAAGACCCGACTTAACCTTGTTAAATTTTTCTACCTGTATTATTGCAATACAATACAACTTTATTTATAAAGCACTTTAAAAACAACACTGTTGGCCAAAGTGCTGTACACTAACAAGCAAACAAAAAACAAACTATAAAATCAACTGAAACCTTAAAAGGACTGTTAAAATCATAAAACAGCAAACTGTAAAAACAATTAAACAAATAAATTAAAACCAGAAAAACTAACATTTAAAGCTGAGTTAAAAGCCAAAGAGGAAAAAAATGTGCTATTGAACACCCACGTCGGAAATAGACGTGTTTTAAACGTCAGAAATAGACGTCCTTTTAACGTCGGAAATAGACGTCCTTTAAACGTCGGAAATAGGCGTGTTTTAGACGTCGGAAATAGACGTCCTTTTGACGTCGGAAATAGACGTCCTTTTAACGTCGGAAATAGACGTCCTTTAAACGTCGGAAATAGGCGTGTTTTAGACGTCGGAAATAGACGTCCTTTTAACGTCGGAAATAG